TTCTATTATTATATAAGTGTTGATATCTGTACATTTACAATTGCACACGCGCCTTCATTGCATTATATATTTTTCTATATGATGAATTCAAAATATAAATAAATAATTACTTTCTTTATGTAACTTGTCCTCATTATAGTTGTGACTATGAACGTAAGTGAAGTAATATTTTAAAGATGAAAACTGAAATATGTATAGTATGTACATAAACGTATTATTATTATCATATATATCAAAAATATGTTCAATTTCTCTTTGTTGTTATATTAATAACGAGTCAACATGCAAATATTATATCGCGTATCACCGATCGCCCTTCCCTCTGTCGTTTCAAGAAAAAAATAATGATAAATACTTGTTACATACTTCCATCATGCCATACTTTATTGTATCAGTGTTTACACTTGTACAGGAAATGATTTGCAACACAGTTGCAGACAATATTATCTTAAATACCATATAGTATCTTTGTATTATTGCTAAATTCTCTCGCCTTCTGTACATTGTTTTATTTATTTTCTATAAACCTCATGTGGTTAATGTTAAAAGGTAAAAAAAATAACTGGATAAAACAAAGTATTCTTTATTTCTCACATACCTAAACCCAATACAATTCAATTCAATCCAGCAGTATCATCAGCTATATTTTTGAATGTCACCAAATCATTAATCTTAGTTGGAAATTTCATTTTCTAGAATGCTAAGGAAAAAAAATTAGACAAGTCATGAACATATACAAAGAAAATGTTTAATATAAACATGTAACAGTTTGACATACCTAAATTGTGCTTATTATAAACAAATTCATTCATTACATTTTATTGGTGTAGGGGGTAATTGGCTCATTTCATTTGATTCAATCTCCTTAAAGTCAATTATAATTTTCTCATTCTTTAGAACATATTTTCTGGAGACAAACATTAATTTCAGGATATTATGATACTACTAAATTTATACAGCATATATATTAAGAATGCAATATGATAAGTGGATTTAATGTCAAATCAGTTAAGTCCTTGTAATCCCTTATAGCATGTTTTGATATTTATACCTTAAACTAAATAAATATAAATAAAGAAGACAGTGAATGTACCTATACTCAACACCTGCTGCATTAAACAATTTTTTAGCAGCTATTGTCTCAGGTTTTTCTGCATGTTTATCTGACATATATACGACTAATTTTATCCCAGATTGTATAATAACTTTAGCACACTCGTTACAAGGAAAAAGTGCAACATACATAGTACAGTTCTTAATGCTGCAGGAGTTTTTGTTCAAAATAGCATTAAGTTCTGCATGGCATACTATAAACAATGTATTGATAAATGAACAATGCATCATGTAATACTAATCTATAAATTAAACATTAGTATTTTACTCAGATTTAATATAAAGATAAAAATTCTGTTACATGTGAAAAACAGATATTTGACCTCCTTCGGTATCAAACTTACCATAAGGATATTTGGTTTCTAAACGGTTGTCTGAATTTTTGCTCCAAGGAAATTCGTCATCAGAACAACCAATGGGCATTCCATTATATCCAACACCCACAATTTTGTTTTCATCATTAACTACACATGCACCAACTTGAGTAGCAGGATCCTTACTCCGTTTTGCAGCCAAAAATGCTATCGCCATGAAGTATTCCTCCCAGTTAATATAATCTGTTCGTTTACTACTGCCATTACTGAAACGAAAAGGAACATAAAATATGATAGTTCTTAATGCGAATTTTATTTTTCAAATTATACCAATAATGTACTACATTTGTTCAGTTTTTATAACAGCGATATCTTCCGCCATATTTAATTGTATTTATAATTAAGTTTCAATCTCGCTACTTTACAATTTTCTAATAATATTCTATTACAAAAAGAGTAGGTACTACAGATGCCTCCTAAAATGTGTTTCTGCACAGCGAGGTACACTACAACCACACATGGAATATTAATTTTCTCACACACTCTCAATGTTTTTACACAGTCGGTAATTTATAACATATGACACCGAGTCCCTCTATTAAAAGTGGCGAGTTTCAGAATTACATTCAAACCCATGTATCGGTATCCAATACCTCCAACTGATAATTCACACTATCTAACACGAAGTCGCATAAAATATCCAATCCAAATCTCTTTTACTACTGTTTATACTCTGTTGACAAGTCCAGTTAAATATTTTGTTAATAATGCAGTCTCTTTTAGAACCGGAGATAAAAAATATTGTTTATCTAACATTCGTAGGTATATCAACTCTGTACAGTGTCTACCAGTTTCGCCATTTTGTTAACGATGGCGCCACCCGTTCAAAGTCTAAATTTTATCTAACGAATTATTTTGATTTATATATATTATAATAAAAGCAATGTCAATCCCATTATCAGCACTTGATTAATGCAATAAATAATTAAAAACTCTAGTAAAATATTGAAAGTATATATATACAGATACAAATGGAAACCTAAACAATCCGACGAAAAATTGCAACGAAACTGATTAATCGCAATGAAACCGATTAAATCGCTAGAAATAATTCGTAGCGAACGAAGAAAACCAGCGGACAACCGAAGCCCATTTAGCGTGATCGTCGTCGAATGGATCTTTGGAACGGAATATCAGGAATAACTTGGTTTCGAGGTATAATCAATAAAGCCTGTAATAATCTGTGCATGGCAGAGGTTGGGACAGAGTTTTCAAGCACGGCAGCGGTGGCTCCTGGTACCGATAGATCATCGTTTCCATCTTAAATCCATTTCTTCAGGGGTTCTAATTCGTTCGGAGTCCATAACAAAATGGCAAACGTGTCACGACATCTTTATTCGACCCGTATTACTTGGCATTTATTCAAACTACACATCGAAGGACATTCTTCGATCATTCCAGAGACAGACAATATCAAAATGCACAATCGAGTAGCAAATAACACACAGTCTTGATTTTAACCGATTATTTTCCCCTGTATTTCCTTATTTTCGAACAGGAAACAATGGTTCCCAACTCTGAAGTGTTTCTTCAACGAATTCCTTTCTTCGACAGCTTCGAAGAACTTCGTTCTCAGATTAATCCATGCAGAATCATTTACGAAAGATCCCTTCCTATGAATGAACGTTTTTTCCTTAATTATCTGCCTGATAAACGCAGCGAAACACTCGGAGCTCCAAGCTGCTGAAAGCTTTTTTAAACGCTCGCTACGCGTACGAGTATACTTGGGCGCGGCACTGTAGACACGTTTTTCAACCCCTAAGTATACTCAGCCTTCCCCGTAAAAAGGGCTAATAATTCGTGGATTGCGATTCCAGTCGTGCAATCGGCGGGGTGTAATTAGTTTCCGTGTCAAATGAATTTCCACCGTAAAACGGAGAGAATTCGAATTACTAATCCTATCTCTGCGACGACTGAGTTAAGTCCACCGAATTCAAAATGGGAAATTAACACGATGACCACAAGAATTTCTTATTCTTGAATAATGAAGGCAAATGATATTGAAAATAATTATTGATCACTTATCACAGTAGTCGTATTACGCTATGATCTAGCTATGTTAAATATTTTCATTTAAAATCAAGTTTCTTTGTAATCGTTCTTCAATTTGGAAGCTCCGATCATCGATGACCACCGCGGCAGAAGTGTTAAACGTTCCTTCACTGCCGTTCTAATTGCGACGCAGGTTTTCCTTACTAATTACCGCGATTGCCTCGGTTATCTTTATCAATTAATCCGTTCGGTTCTTTGAGCCTTTTCCAATGCGACGCGAGTCCCCGTAATAAATTGCGAACGCGGACGGAATTGAAAGGGCTTTCATTCCGTGGCGTAGCTAATAAAATAACTCGCAGGATCGTGACAGTGTTCCTCGGGGAACTATCACACCCCCGTGACATTCGTTCACGCACAGCCCATCGGTGATTGACTGCTGCTTCCCCGCGCTCATCCCCCGGGAAGTATCTTTCCTCTTCGACTGGTGCATTAAGTAAGTAATTACAGGAATCCGTTGAATACACCGGCGCATAAACGAGAATCACCTGGAACGGAGATAAAGAAACCCCGGGAACATTGCCCGCGGCCCCGTAAACGGAGAACCTCTTGCAACGGAACGCAAGTTGAATTTCACCACCTAAGGGGTGTCGTTCTTTAACGACACTCAGAACCACCTAGACGGAATCGTTACGTAAGAAAGTCGTTGCGAGGCAGAGCAATCTCTCGGTTTTCAATTAACGTTTCATTTAACAATGTCCGGCTGGAATTCTTATTTGTGACTAACAAAGTGTGTACAGTATGAAATAGATATTAACCTATGAATACAAACTAACAATGTATTCAATAGGCATAACAATTTTATTAAAACGAATATATTTGGTAAGTTTGAAACTATGACGTTGAACGTTTTAGTCTGTGTATATAAAAGTTAACCCTTTGAACTCTGTAGGCTTCATTATTGCCCCAGTTATGATACTAAATATTTTAATGAACCTTAAAGAAACTACCCTAAAATTATTCGATTTTCCACATATCCTAATTTTGTACTAAGGAAAATAAAAGATCGAAGAAATGTAGCATTTCTCATTCTCGCTATGAATACTATAAAAATTAGTCGCAGTTGCTGATAAATTACGAAACAACCTGGAGCGCTAAGGGTTAGTTAATTTCATTCCTCATTTTGCGGCAGGAAATTAAATAAATCAATTTAACGCAGTATATTGATGCGTGACTCCAATTCACGTGCGTCTAGAGAGGGTTAATTCGATCCAATCGCGCCATTGTATTCTCCTTCGAGAGTTTAGATTCCAGCGTGTTATATATCCCATCGACTCTCGACTTATTCACAAAATATCTTGATCTCCGAAAACGTTCAAATATTTCTATCGAGTAACCTCCGAGTGCAAGGGGTTAACCCTTAACGAAGATTCCTTGAAACGTAGTAAACCTTCAGCAAACGGAGCTAAATTATACATTGCTCAAATAATAGCGAAAACCGAAACTACACGCCAATCTGCTATCCGAGTAATTGAATCATTCGCCTGCGACTCTTCCAAACACGAACGTTATCTCGAAACGTCGATACAAAGTCGAAAAAATCCGCAAAGGGTTGAAACACTAAATATTCAACATCCTAGTTCCGCTTGCAATCAAGTCACCGAGAGTCGCCTCTCGTGCAGAGGGTGAACAATTCCACAGTTCTTCTCCCTAGAGAAACCGATCTCCGTGCGGACCCTGCGAATCGGTTGAAAAATACACACGTGGAATACACAGCCATGCGCAATCAAGATCAACGTAAACATTCGGCTCTCCGATCGAACCTCCGCGGAGCGGCGTCGTTCGTCAATCGCCGGCGCGTTTACGTTCGACAAGGAATAATCGAGTCGCGAGAGGCCGGGAGCAGGCAGCGTGCCAGAAATTTGGTCCAGGGAGGCGGAGGACACCGCGGGTACTATTCCCGTTCGTCGGTGAGCGGCGAGAGTATTGATTAAGGGGTGTTTCGTCGGGAGAGATCCTCGCCGTCGAGGGGATTTCCTCCCTGAATGCAAGGGATGAATGGAGGGGGCTGTCAGCGGGGCCGAAGAAACAGCGACAAGGGTCGCGGGGGTGTTTGGCCGACGCAGTCGCTCGGGGTTGCACGCAGGCCGGCGGCGCGCATGCGTGCCCGTCGCCCAATTTCGCACGCACCTACGTGTCCTCGCGTATTTACGGGTGTACGGTCGCCAACGAGGCCGGTCCTCTACACGTGGTCTCCTGGATGCACCAGCGAATGTAAGTTGTGAACCAGTGAATTCTATCGAACGAAAGAGCATTATCTTCGATTCATATCGGCGACGCTGGAACCTTCGCGCAGGAACTTCACCCCTTACTAGCGACTACGGAAGGGATTCAGGGTATTATTAGAATTTTTACTGGAACTTGAATATTTAACTTGACACGTGTTGATGCTTGGGACTTGGATGCAATAACGCAGGCGATTCAGACGCGAGCCTCGTCTCAAGGATGTGAAGCTTCAAGTGTAAAGGATAAGAAAATTCGGAGACCAGCATCGTCTAGAAAGCTGACCGACGAGCGAATAACACGAGACGCATAGGAAACGATGCCCCGTAGTCTAGTTACCCCGCGTCAGAGAAGAAATTCGGAAAATTTCACTTATCTTATCTGAATCCGCGCCGCGTGGCAGACACGTATACACACGAGGATCACGGAACAGCGTCGGATCGTACGGCGGCGACCGGCTCGTGGAACAGCGGGGAGCTCGTCCGTCTCGACAACACCTCCTTCTCGCTCTCGTTTTTTCCCCGCGTAAGTCGGTCTCCGTCCCGCTCGCCGGCGTACCTCTCTCCCACCCTCTCTTTCTGTCGGGCACCGGCAACGCAGAACCGGCACCGGCACCGAAGGGCTGCAGTTGCGATCGGATGATCGACGAGTGCGCGTCTACTTGTGCGCGTCGCCCGGAATGTTCGCTTGCCGTCCCGAAATCGTTCGCGTGACCTGTCCACGGTGAACCGGAGCCGAGACGCGTTGGAGCCGAAGGCTGCGCGGCGACCGGAAACGAGAGATGTTTACGGGGATCCGCCAGGTAAACCGGAAATATACGCGTACGCGTAAATAGCCGCGATCCGGCGTACATGTTGACGCGTGCCGAGATGCGGCGTCGGTTTACGATCGTTTCGTTGGAAAGACGAGCGGAGCGACGGGGATGGCGATCGGGGAAGGTTATCGAGTTGTTATTGGCCGCGTTCCTGCCTACCTTCGGCGTTGCGTCCGGTATCAATGCTCGATTACGAACGATATCGGAGCAGTCGCTGCTCGACAGCTTCGAGTCGCAAGGATTCGGGGGTGATTCTTCATCCCCGCGATGATAATCGAGGAACGCGGAGGATAAAAATATTTCAACTCGTTCGTGGGGAGTGTGGTTAATGCAGGTTTCGAATGTCGGGAGCTATGGTGTTCGATTCGTTGAGTATTTACGTAGAGAGCTTCGTGAGGTTTTGATTCTCGTTTTCTGGAGCGGATCGTTTGTCTAACGTCTCGGCTCATCCCTTAGCGTTCCATTGGAATTCAAGATGGATCAAGCGTACAGTGTCCTGGCGAGACGGAGCGAGACGGACGAAGGGTCCGCGAAGCCACGAGGTTTTCTCGCCGACTCAATCGATATCCACGTCTGAGTCGTCAGTAATTAATCGACGAGTGCCGCGATAACTGCCGGTGCTTGACGTCGCGAAAGAGCCGGCAATAAGTAACGGCCGCCCCATCGGCGATCACCCTTCGCTTGTGTTATAAAATGTTTAGCGTAAATTGAATGCAATTGGAGTAAATTACCGTGACTCGATCGTCGCCGATAGAAATTGCATGCGACGAGTGTACAGCTTCTGAGATGCGTGTATGTTCTCTGGACGAGTCGGTCTTTCAAGTTGTTATTATATAGCTCCCTCGAGACTCTTCGAGCCGCTTATCGAATCGAACGTGTACGGAGGTTCACCATCTTATTTCGACGTAAAGATGTTTATACTTGCCATGAGCTCACGATTCTTTGACGACATGATCTCACGTGCTTATCCGTTATTTGAGCTCATTACACTGTATTGACACTCATTGTTGACTAGTGTTTACTTATTCGATAGGGGAACACGCATCGATTGGTACCGCTCGTTGTCGCTTCGTCGCTCATTATACTCGAAACAATGGTTTCAAAAGTGCACGACGTCTGTCGCGCACGTCGAAAATGGCTGGCATCCCAAAACTGCAATTTCTTGTCTGCAACACTGACAGCCATCTCCAATAAAAACACGCAATCTCGTAAAATCCACAATATAAATTACAGATTCAAACCATACAATACAAATTCAAAATAGGAAACGTTGCAGTCTCGAGAATAGCGTACAGCGAGAAACACGCAATCTCGTAAAATCCACAATATAAATTACAGATTCAAACCATACAATACAAATTCAAAATAGGAAACGTTGCAGTCTCGAGAATAGCGTACGGCGAGAAACACTTCTCAAAGTAATGACCGCGAGGTGGTGAAATTAAAACGGAAAACGAGAAAAAACACCCCGCGATGGAGGTGCGGTGGCGACTTCATAATTTGTGGGTGACGTACTCGACGTCTCGCCTTCGAATTGGCGTGATTACGTTTCTTTTCGGGCCTGGCCTCAAAGAGGATGCGACGCGAGCGCGCGCTGCTCTACCGGGGCGAGAGCGAGGCTTAAATGGCGTTTGTTGGTGTGCGCGGTGCGACATAAAGTCATTAAAGAATTTCTAAGGCGTCGGACAACGGCCTGCCGCTACGAGTCTCATTACGCGTATAGGCGAGCATACATATCTGGCCCGTGGCTCGGTGTACGTGTAACAAGTACACGAATCTTCGTCGTCTCCTATAATTGAGGCTGTCTTTAACGCGGTCGACGTGCAATTCTTGCCGCTGATAAATTACTGGGACAACTGTTCGACGAGGAGTCCGGCCGAGACGAAAAAATCGCTCGAACGGACTCGCGCTCCGTTGGCTACCAATTTTGGAAATCGTATTTTTCAGTATCGTCCGATATTCATAGATCCGACTCTCAATATTACAGCTTACTCATTCGCGTTTTCAATTCGAATTGAACGGTCCCCGGTAAACATTAATCACGCCTACATCGGAGGTCTCTTCTGCGTATACTAAACAGCGATTCCTCGAAGAGCAGCCGCGGATCTTAATGGAAAAAGTGTCATTAGCGTTTAAAAGCTGATCGCTCGGACTTGCTGAAGATACAGTCGCGCGGTATCGATGACTCACGGCGTTTACATTTTCATTAACGCGGAGTCAACGTGCATTCATACGCCCGGCGAAGACATTTTGAAACAGTTCTCCTGGGAACAATGCAATTGCTCAATCGCTGGCTTTCAGTTAATCGATTGCTCAAGGTATTCTCTTGAATTATTACTTGGCTCCGTTGGTTCTCTTTGGGATGGTAACCATCGTACCGTTGATACTTTAATTCGTCGGCAACGAAGAAAGTTTCGCGGTGCAACGATGATACGTTGAAATCACCGGGTCTGTCGTCGAAAAACCCTTTGTTCCGATGTTGAATCTCGGCCGACCGGTCGTGAATGAACTTTTAACACGAGAACGCACGTTCGCGATGAAAACGTCGCCGGCCACGACCGGCGGAGTCACGATTCTGTACCAACTTGTTCCCGGAATGCATGCTGCATGCAAATATCAACAGACGAGCCCGCGGCGCGAGTCGATAAAACGTTCGGCTAATGGAAATTTTCTTAATCAGCGTTTCGCGAGCCGGGAAACGCTAAACGGCAGTTAGGCCGCGGGATTATCTTTAGTGCTCGCGCCGTTTCTCTGATGTCCTAGACTCGGCAATTAGGAGATCGTTTACCCGGACCCAGCGTCTTAATCAGTTAACGAGTGTCCCGATGTTTCGATAATATCCCACGTTCAAAATCGGCTGAGCCACGACGTTAACCAGTTAATTGTGGAATTTAGTTGGGAAAACCTCTCGTCCTGCGCGCGATAAAATCAAAAAATGGAGCGTGTACTCGAATGCAGGACGAATGCGCGTAGAGTATATTTTGATGAAAGATCAAAGCGAAACAAAGAATTACATGTTTATGTGAAAGAATAAAGAATTAGTATCGTGTCAAGTTTTACAAAGACATATACTCGTCACGGTTAACTGGTTAACGAGCAAAAATCTGTTCGAATCTTCGAGCAATCGGCTGTAGAAATCATAATTAGTTAAGGGGATGCGGTCGCCGAACAATGCCCGCATTTATCGTACCTTCCACTTTCTACATTAGAGATCGCAAGAAAACAAGGAGGTCGTGAAAAATAAATATATTCCTTTAACAACCTCGGGTTTCCTTCGAATTAACTCTAGAACTGCCGAGCAATCAAATTGATATTTTCAAACTTTCATACAGGAACTCTAAGAACGCAGCATTTCAATGAACTTGCGATTCGATTCGCGTATAGAGATCAATTTCTCTAGTAATTTCGCAGCGAAGCGTCTGTTATCCATTAAATAACCGAAGAAGAGGAATTTAGGAATGAGTAAATTTGACCCATTTGGTAGTTCCAGTGTTAAGCATGGAAATCAACGCGGATAACCAAGAGACTCGCGTAGCGCACGTTTCCGTTACATCAGCTCGAATTCGTCTGATTTCAAGGCATTCCTCTGAAATTACGATGCACGGTCCGCGAGCGTACACTTTTCTGAACAAAGCGGGACATTCTGACGAGTTATTCAAGATTCACTAAAGTCGCGGACACTTTAGACTCTACGAAACTCTATACTAATCCTGTTTCTTTGGGACGACACGCATCAATACCCGCTCCCCCTCGCTCGAATCCTAGACCACCCAACGGTAGATTCCGATGTCTCGCCGACCGATTCGAGAATAGGAACGAATATGTTTTCCATCGGTCCCGAGCGTCCGAGAGGTATGCGTTTCGCGTCGTTCGATTCAGGTTTTCCCGGGATGGGGCGTAGCAGGTTGCTTCTCCTTTCACCGGAAACGCCGACAGCGTTGTTCGGTCGGTTCCGATTTTTACGTGTATCGCCCGGCGAAAATCGAGGCGGAGGAGAAAAAATGCTTATCGATTCACGAACTTCCGCGGACGCCGCCGCTTCGGCCTGTAGAGCTTCGCGGTGCTCTAGCTCGCTCGCGGCGCAAGGAATTCCTCGTGCGATTAGTGGAACGCCTGTGGAGCAACGCCGCCTATACCCACACGCGCTCGCGATGGTCACGCTCCAAAACTGTTACTTATTACTTCAATCTTATTACCGGTAACGGAGCATTACCGCGCTTTAGAATTATTCCCCGCTCCGCCTCCCCGCCCTGCCCGCCGGTGCCCGAGGCATCGCGAGCCGAACGCAAAATTACACAAGCACGATTTTGACTTTCTACACTGCGGAACAACGCGATGCAAACGAACACGACAGTCTGTCGTTTTCTACATCCCTGGCGTGCTTCCGCGTTTGCCGCGCTAATGGATTAATCGTGAAGCGGGGCCTTTTAATGGGGATTTATGTAACGATTAACGAACTCCGCCATGGGACGGGCTTGTACTTGGTTCTTTCTTGGTGTTATTGGATTCTCGGCTCGACGCGGAGGCGTCCGCTTAACAGTGAAACCGAGGTGGAATTTTGGAAATCTAGAAACTCTAGGAGTGCAGCTATTGAAACTTTCGTTGATTTCTGAATCAGTTTCTTTAATCATTTCTCAGAGAAACACGTGTCTTTCTAATAAATGCAGAGGAATGAGTTACTTTTTCTAGTCTGGTAGTTTCAGCGTTAACATCTTGTGTTATACACTTTATTCTTGTCTGTAGCTTGTAATAATCTACGGCATGTGTCCCCACGTGTTATCACACGGTGATAAAGTGCTGTTGATTAAGAGTTTTCCTTTTTATCATTATTCTTAACTGGTTCGGAAACCTTTTATTGTCCCCGCGTGGTCGACTTCCTCGGGACACCCCGTAGAGATTGATAGAAGCAATTACGATCGAGTGGGGTTAAAAGGTTTTAATCAATGGAATGGCTACCGGTTGTTATAAACAGTAATTTTCTTCGTCGC